ACAACCTTTAATGAAGGAAATTTTTACAGTTAAAATATTGAGCTTGTTAAGTCAGCCTTAGTTTAAAGAACGAAAAAAGTGAAAAAAGGATTTTAAAATGCCAACTTGAAAATTTTGAGTTAAATTGGAAAATGAAATTGCTTCACGTCCTCTACCCGTTTTATGTATTTGTAATCAAATAGAAATCTCTTCATGCGTTAATTTTTATAGTTGAGCTTTTTGATGGATGACTGTTGTACCCAATGTATAAATAACTTTTGGTATGGTATACTGGCTATATTAAGTAAGGGTATGTTTACTGTGTTCGTTATCAAGCATACCAGGAGTTACATGCACGTTATCTACCATTCTTAATTGTCTACTCGGCTGTTGCTACTGAATTTTCTTGCTACTGAATTTGTGATCTTCATATCTTGAACACAAACTCGACCATCATAGAACACATTTTCTTGCCTTATTGAGTTTATATCACTAAAAATATTATTTTACATTATTTTAACTAATTTTATTATTTGTTCAAAAATTCTCCGACATATAACGTTGTCGAAATTTCAAAAAGATTATGTGATTATGTAAAATATATATAGTAATTAATTTTAATGGCCCTCGAATCATATCTCAAGTTCATGACAAGATTTCGTAATGGATCGTCAAATGATGCAGTTTTTCTCTGAAACAGCAAGCAACTTGCCGACGCTCCCTGCGCCCACCATCCAAGCGCTGCCAAACACTCATTTCGTAGTGGGTCACCCGTTCCACTTGGAGTGTGTTGTGCCGAGCATGGCCGAAATTACCTTCGTTTGGATGCACTTGGACGAGACTCCAACTGGACTGTTTGTAAGTGCGAATTGATACACAATATTACTAAATAATGACTAGGTCAATTCAGAGAAAGGGTTCAGTATGTGGAAATTTAGGAACAAGAGAATGGCCTGTTGTGCGAATTACGATTAAATCATTGTTCAGTTTAATTGAGAGAAATTATTGCACGAAAGGTGTAATGACGATAATTTTCTGGTGGGCGCAGTAGATTTAATACTGTAAATCTCGTTATAATTTCATCTAGGCAAAACAATAATAGATGTAAATCATGCTTTATAAAGTTTATTTTCATTGTGTTTTATGACACCAAGGAGTATATGAAATTAAAAGCACGCATTAGTGCTTGCAGTTACGCTTAATTTTGCTTAGCTTGATCATAATTCCTGGGAAAAAAAATGAGCCAAACAGGTCATAAAGCATATATGTATATCTTGCAAGAGTAAGACATATTGAAACGTTCATGCAATTTTATTTAATGCACTAGCTGCTGCATGAGTCTTCATTATTATTAATGCTGCATTATGAAAAGAATTAATAAGGCTGAAGACTGACTTCATTACAGACAGAAGAAGTTCGGAACAAGGACCGTATTAAGAAGTCGGTTTTATCAGTACCTTCTGCCAAAAAATCAGACACTGGAGTTTACGAGTGTCAGGTGAGAAGAGGCAACGCCAGGACCACATCTCGTAACTTCAATGTCAATATCCTTGGTGAGTCATGAAAGTGTTATGGAGAAATTATAGCAAAATCACGTTAGGAACTATAGTATAATAATAATATTATTATAATATAACTATAATAAGTTATAGGAAAATCACGTAATAGAACGTAAAATATTCTTTAAGCCTTGAAAACTACTCCGATTCGCACGATAAATTGCAGATAGGGGAAGCAGTGCAGGAATTCCTACTAGCTGCGGTGTTCGAGTGTTCTTGTATTTCCTTGTTTCGAGTGTTGTATTTCCTTGTGTACTTTCCAACAGAGACTAAAGCTCCAGTGTTGAACGTGTCATCGGAACCGCCAGTAATTCATGTAAATAAAACTGCGCCCCTGTCGTGGAAGAGAATGGTTGAGTTCTACCCTGACAATCCTATCCTCTCTTACTACAATCCCCGCAATGAGAGCATCTCGTCTTCGGGTAAAAGGGTACGTACGATTCTGTACATGGATTTAGTTTGATCATAGGCCTCCCTGAGAGAACAGTTAATAAAGTTACTTCAGAATGAAATGATCTTCTAGCGCGCCCATTTACAATTGAGCTAGAATTCACAGTATAGGTGAGAAGCTCTTAAATTAGGTTACTTGATTGTAGTCAAAAGTATATTTTTCAAACTTAGAGTACGAGGATCATCAATAGCGTTGTGTATAAATTAAAGTTTCAGAAAGCCTACTAAATTTGGTACAACTGGTTCGATATCATGTACAAAACTAGCTCGATACCAAACTGATCAATGTCGTACCAGTTTTCGTAGCGTAAAATGCGAGATGCCGTTGATCGCAAGAGAATTGTGTTGTCTTCTGCAGATACAGTCTCTCAAAGATGCCCTCTCTCAATTCTCATTTGCGATAGTGTTTTAACAGAATTGCATCTACTCTCACATTCATAAGGTTTTCGAATTTGCTGGGTGTTGGAAGCAGGCTCTATACAGATTCCTGATGAATTGTAATTTGGTAACTTCAGGTGAGCTGGGCATTCAATTCGACTACTGGAGAAGCATGGCTCTACATAAAGAATGTTTTAACGTCGGATTTCGGCAACTGGACGTTGATCGCAGAAATGGACAATTTGCGCGTGCGATCGAGTGTACAAATCATCGTTTTCAGTGCGTACCGTGTAATAAAATCATACTCATTATTATGCCAACTCCTGAGTCTTTCGTGATTGCCAACGTCTCGTTTCCATAAAAACATCCCTTCATATCTAAAATCAGTAATGTTGTTGTATGCATCTTGAACTATTCGATCAATGTTGCTTTACGTAACACCTATGTTTCATGTATTTGTAATCAGGTTCACCAGAGGTACAACTGCATGTGCCGAACTCCATAAAACCTGGCTCAGTAGAAGGAGTTGTTTGTGACGTCACGGGTTACCGCTTTGCGAAGGGAGGCAACCGCACCAAACAAAGCGTCAACGTCACGTGGTTGTTTGCTGATTGCATTGCCCAGTTATCCGTCTGCGAATTAAAACCATTGGAAATAGAGGTAATACGAATCCAAATGTATAAAATTCGCACTCATTTTGATAAAAAATTCTGAACTTTGAGATGTTTTGGGATGAAAAATTGTTTAGACCAATTATTACTGTACAGTCGACCACACGTGAAAGTGGGAACAAGATTTGGGCGACGCCTGTAGTGCAGGGCACCAAGTTGCAGTACATCAACTCATCGGCGACGCTCAAGTGCTCGGCCAAGACCGACACCGAGGAAGACTCGGACGAGAAAATTATTGTGGTTACTGGTACGTTTGGTAATTAATTAGTGATTAAGGCTCAAGTTTTTGTCAGGCTGTTATGGTCTAATCAGCTCCGCATTTCAAATATTTGGTTTCTCAGTTTGATAGTAACTAGGCTATAAAACTAGCAAATTTCGAATAAAATCTCCCATTTTCTTGTCAAAAATTATAGATTTGCGATGAAACTTGTCGATACCAGTGACCATAAGATTCCGTCCAAATTATAATTAGATTATATTTAGTTTCGAATCAAAAATTTCTAACAATTTGCTCAGATCTCACGAATCGGTGGGAGTTTGCTCATGTTGGTGATGACGGATCCGTTGAATACGTTCAGGAGCGCGAAAGCCTCATCACGGTTGTGATGAACGACAAGTTTTTATTGCGGTGCAGCGCTACCAACAGCCTCTACCACTCCCCAATGATCTGGTTTGAAGGTAAGATACCAACAGCGCCTACCACTCCCTCATGATCTCTTATAATGGTGAGATACCAACAGCCTCTACCGCTCCCTCATGATCTTTTTTAATGGTGAGATACAGAAAGTCTCTACCAACCCCCCACGCTCTCTTTTACTGGTGATCGATACCAACGGCCTTTATCACTCTCCCAGGATCTTTTTCAGTTGTAAGAGACCAACAGCTTCTACCACTTCTTTAGATCTCTTTTACTAGTGATCGATACCAATAGCCTCTACCACTCCCTCGTGGGTTCTTTTACTGGTGAAACACCAACAGCGCCTACCACTCGCCCCACTGTCTCTTTTACAAGTGCTATATACCCATACCAACAGCCTCAAACACTTGGACTCGATCCACTTTACTAGTTAAATACCAACATCTTCTACCACTCTCCCACTCTGCTACCTGCTACCTGCGGGGTTTTGATACCCACCTCGCTGCACAAATTTTTACGGCTTTCACTGATCAACGTCTGTAATTAAAACACTGAAAAATCTCATCCTCAAAACAGTCTCCAAATTCAGTTACAGTTTTTTTACACACTTTTACCTTGAACGATCGAATATTTTAGCTCGTAATAAAATGCACTAATCTTACATTCATCTCTTAGCAGTGGCTCAATCCACGAGTGTTAGCTTCTTCACTCAGAAATATTAGAAAAAATGTGAATGCCATAAAATATCAGTTACAAAGAATTTATGATAGATTACTTTAATGTTACGCTTTATTTAAGGTCATAATCTTCTAATTCTTCTTGGCAACATTTCTCGCTTTTGTATTTTCAGGAGACGAGCAGCCGCTGGTCAACACCTCTAGCAGCCACTACTCAACCACTAGTAGCATTGATTCAATTGTTAGCAGATCCACGACTGGATCCTATACCTGCTCAGTTACGTTAAATGAAAGCAATAAAGTTGAAGTGAAACGCTTCCACGTCAACGTCGAAGGTATGGCGTTGAAAAGATTACATAATTCTCTATAAATGATAATTGTTATTCAAACGGGTTACACGTCTCTACCGGATTGGAATTTTGTATGATAATTTTTAGACAAACTGCTATCAACATTTAATGGTCATATTATTTGTATAATAGAAGAATTAAAATAACTGATTCGATTTGATCTGCTGTGCAAAAACATGTTATTTTCATTATTTTATTTTTTGATAAGTATTATAATGGATTTCTGGATTCTGGGCCGCATCCTTGACATTGGATGCACACTATTCCTATATGCACTGACATATTTCTTCCTTTTACAGACGAAAAACCCATTACCTTGTCGGCCTCAAGTAATACAAAGCTCGATGTCATACCCGAGGACTACAGAGAACGCGGAACAAATTACACCATCATTTGTGAACCTGAAGCGAAGCCCATGCCTCGTATCAAGTGGCTCAAGGTAGGGGGTTGTACTAACACACAATTCCTGATTCGCCGGCCGACATTCGACTCTCCTAACCGCGATTTCTTGCTTTTTACTGCTTCATTTCTTGTCCTGAGCACGGACTAACCCCTGATGCATACCTCGCTTGAAACATTCCCTCACCCACAGGACGGAGAGGACATACACTTCAACAGAACGATCATGCACTTCGACTACTTGGAGCCTGAGGACGAAGGCACCTACACTTGCCTTATGAGTTGGCGAAGAAGAGAGTATAAAGCCTCCCTCGCCCTTTACATTTCAGGTGAACGAGTTTTCATGATAATGATTTCATTAGTTATTCATGTATTAATTGGCATTCATAATGCGAATGGTCAAAAATCATATTATAATGAAAATGAGGGCTTATACTTGTACGGTTTGCGACATTATAGGTTGTAAATTGTTATTCGGATAAATAGAAAACGTGGTGATCTTGAAACGTCCCTCTTGCTGCATGGCGTCTCCTTGCACAGCATATGTAGCGGGGGATGTTTAGCCGGGGTGACGATTTTTTTTTCGGCTGGATAAGGTTGCCATATACACTTAGGTGTGCTGAATTTGTTATCGTATCTTAGTTTGCGGAACTTCACCTGCTGCATCTGGGTTGAAATGCAAGTGCCATCGAGCTTTCCCATCGTTAACCAAACCTTCCGCACCATAGCTCTATGGCTTTATAAAAACAATCAAAAAATAAAAACTATGCTGATTTATGATGTAACATCCTCGTTCATTCAGCCAATCAGTTTTTGAACGATTTAAAAGGCAGAAACTTCAGTTAGACTTCAGCTGTTTTGGCAGTGGTTCTCTGCAATATTGTGTGTAGCAGTCTGTCTTACTATCCTGCACTTGTTGGCAGGAATGCCCATGAGGCCGAAACTCAATGCTTCTATTTATGCTGAAATTATGACATTTAATTTTCCACGTAGAATTCTTCCTCTTCGTATATCCAAAAGTATAATTTGACAAATTGACCTCACAATAACGAATTGAACAGATATAATTATTTTAAAGTAGTAACATGTTAACTGCATAGCTAGAATGGAAAACATTGAATTTCTTTACAATGATGAGTATACAATTTTTAAAAACCGGAGAGCAGACTAGATGCTTTGCAAAAAGTAATCATGGTTATGTTTTGATTAAATTTATTGTGAATGCCTAAATATGCTCATAGCAAGCGGCTGAGTATTTTTCTATTTGAATTTAATAGTAAGCAGCCGATGGCGTTGAATCGGTCGTAATCTCTCAATTATGTTCTTAGCATCAGGTAATAACTTAATATGCTATAACTTATTTTCAGACCCTAGAGCGTCGGCTATCTGGTGGGTGCTGGGTATTGCAGGGGCTTTCATCATCATCCTGATAGGTGCAGCCACGTCTTTGGTCCTGCGATTAAAACGAGAAAAAGCCAAAAGTGAGCAACGGAAGGCTGCCAGACGCATTCTTTTCCAAACTGGCAAGATTGATGAGATCAACGCACAGCTCATGGTCGAGGACCAAGCAGACCTTTTACCGTACGACACATCCTTCGAAGTGCCGCGAGATAGGATTAAAATTGGTGAGAACTAAATTACATCGGATCAAGAGGCGTTCTATGAATCTTCATATGAGCACGCGGCTAGTGCTAATGAGCATTTTGGTGTATTATTTGTTTCGAAAAAGTTTATTTTAGCATATAAATTTTTCATGTAACTTGAGTGTCTCCGTTTTTTTGGTAAGGTCGTCAACTTGGCAGCGGCGCCTTCGGTCGTGTGGTCAAAGCCGAGGTTTTTGACCTCAATGATGATGGAAACTACTCTCCTGTTGCCATCAAGATGACCAAGTCCATGAGCGATGCTTCTCACGTCAAAAGCCTCGCCATCGAGCTCAAAATTATGATCTACCTTGGCAAGCACCTCAACATCGTCAACCTGATCGGAGCCAACACCCAAAATATTGATAAAGGTTCTCTTCGGCCCTCGCATTATGTATAGATGGCTCGGCTTTCCTGATGTTTTTAAAAGCCTATGCACATGAACCAAATACTTTTGGCTTTGAATCCTACCTTGAAAATTCTCAACTGTTTATTTAGTGTTGGTTATCGCTTTCGCTTGTTCCATAGAACGCTGGGAAATATGGTGATAATTCTATCGACTTATAAGCGTAGGTATTTTTACTTCATTTTTTTCAATACTTACAGAATTGAGCAGAATTTTGGTCAATTGTGTTACCGACGCCTTGACCTAATGATCAGTCTGATCAATTGGGCAAATTTCTCATTGAATTAGCATGCAACGGTTCACTAAAAATTCATTTATACGCCTAATCAAATATTTACATTGAAATGATTGCGAAATATTTATGTTATTTTGAATTTAGTCTGCACTTCTAATTTATAAATTCTAATTTATAAATTCTAATTTATTAAATGTGTTTTCAGACGAGCTGTGGCTATTGGTCGAGTATTGCCAGTACGGCGATCTTCTCTCATTCATACATCGCTACCGCAAGAAGTTTGTTGATCAAATTGATCCTGTGACGGACGAAATCAATTACAGCTTCATGGCGGTCACTCCCAACTGCTACGCGTCTCCGTTCTCTCCTGGAGTCAACAACTACAAGAAGCGCGATAGGTTAGCTAATATTTTGATGAGGAAGTTGTCAATAATTATTTCCAGTGGCCAGTGTATCAAGTATTTAAGAGACTTTTTTCGAGTTGTAACTGTGACAAATAACGATTGATGAACGTTTGAACTTATGCTATACATTTTATTGATAGCATTTTTTTAAGGTCATGGGGCTCATTTTCAGGGACTTACACACAATATATGTTAGAAAATTGTCATAATCCAGAGCAACAAATTTTAGAAACTTTTCAACCTGCATCCACTGCGCAAAGTTCATTGCGTTCGTAGCTCACTTACATCATCTATCAAATTCACATATTTAATGCACAGCTATTTCATTTGAAATGACAGACCGAGCGAGTGTAGCGAAGTCCCGAGCCCCGGTGGTTATATGGTGCCCCAGTCGCTCTCAAAGCCCATTGTGTTGGCGGACCCACCGAAGGGTCACTCCGCTCGCTCTTCTCGCGACACCTCGCCTCAATCAACTCCGTTTCCCTCTTCCGTGAGTATTTTAAGCTCGCCTGTTATTTCTCAGACTGCGTGTAACCAAAGTTATTGCTTGTCAAAGACTCTTAATACAATTTAACAATGCTGTATTTTTCGCAGGCCGCTGGGCCCGAGAACCTCTTAGTAGGCAACCCAGGCTACGGCGTGTTGAGCACCTTTGTGAACCAAGAGCCACCGACACCAGGCTCAGATTCTCAATGTCCTGCTTCGCCACCACCGACCGTTGTTCCACCAGACGTTGTTCCTCCACCAACACCGCCCTCATTCACCGCTCCTTACGTCAATATGGGAGTGGTACAGTCGGCCAAAGAAGAAGTGACCCAATCCCACAATACAGACGTTTTTTCATCCCCAACAAGTCCCCCTCCGTACGTAACACAAAGCTTTACACCCAATAAGTCCCCGCGTAGGCACGATAGCACCAGCTCCAACGTGTTCTCTAACTCGTACAGGTCAGGATCAATGACTGGACCTTACCGACGATACAACACGGACATGACCACAGTCAGCTCTGCAGGACGGCCTTTCTCGCCAGGTCGGTGTTTACTTTCCTTACTTTCAATTATGAACGAATTTATTTGCTGAAATATTCGCTGTCCAAAATGCTTGCTCAGGCTTTTTCGTTTCATTTCATCGTACTCAGCTATTACATGGCTTAAAAACTATCATGATACAATGAGATTAATTCTAATCGGTAATTTACAGCGATAAATGTATTCAGTCATTTTTAGTTCAAAATTTCTCGCGTTCAAAATTCGTTACAATCGTAATTTCTGTTGTATCTTCTTTTGTTTCCTTTGCTCGCAATCCAATCATCATTTAAAACACGGTTAATAATTAAGGCCCTTTCACATAGCAGATGTTTGGCTGGACTCTCAAGGTAACCCCATCAACAACGATGGCACGGCCATCCCAGGCCTTGGACATCCCTTCACTACCACGGAGATCATCTGCTGGTCCTGGCAAGTGGCCCAAGGCATGGAGTATTTGACGCGGAGGAAGGTAAACTTGTCATGGCTGGCTCACTGTCTTGATTAACATGGTCGTTGCAATTTGCGTGTACTGCATGGCAAGCGATGCTAAATTATTGTTCCTGCCTCTAGAGTCCTCCTTTTTTGCAATTACTTCCACAGATAGTCATAGAAAAATACGTATTAAATCTTTTTTTAAAATGTAGTCATAAATTATGTCTTTTTATCGAAGAAGTTTTTTATTGATTGAAGGTGTCTTATGAATGTAGCATAGCCAAGATAGTCAAGAGTATATATTAGGTTTTTAATTCTCAGTATTAAATAAGGGCTACATATGTTCTTTATTTATTAGTCATTAACGAAAACCTATTTAACGGCTTCAATGTTTAGGAACGGGATTCATAAATAATTGTCGTTGTCTAAGTTTTGTTCCTTGAGCAACTCAAGGCATTCATTTCAAGCTTTTTTTTATGTCATTTTCAAACATCGTTCCAAATTTATATATTCATTGTATCATAAATTGAAATTAATCTCTAAATGCTTTAGATCCTCCACGGCGACCTTGCCGCACGAAACCTTTTACTTGCCGAGGGCAACATCGTCAAGATCAGCGACTTTGGTCTCTCCAGAGACATGTACAAGAAAGAAATCTACACCAAGCAAGGAGATGTGAGCATCACGCGGTGCTTCTTATGACTATTTGGCTATATATACTAATTATAACAGTTTTTCGAATCGAGAAGCCTTTTTATTAGGACCACCTACTTTTCGACAATGCTTAGCGTTCTTCAAGCGTTGGTCATAGGAGCTATTCAGCTTTAAACCTTGACTGTGTACGATATACGAAGATAATTTGCTGGCCTGAAGAAATGTTCTTTCTCTATAGCCTCATTAAATTAATATGAATATATCTTAACAGTAATACGCTGTTTTAAATCCCAGTTCAATGGAGACTTTACTTATATCACTTACGATTCAATAAGAATTTATTGTCACTTATGCTATTTGTTAATCAATTTTCGCACGTGAATATGTACTATGAATTGGAAAATTCTACAACTCATCCTGAAATATTTAACGCGCTTGATTGCAACGTCATTTGATAAATTACCGAAGTGCTGTAATTTTGTGTGATCAGGACCTGCTGCCTATGACTCGAAAAAGTCTAATACTCTTCGGGAACTCTTTAACGCGTTTGATTTCAACGTAATTGTATAACGCTTCCTAAATTACTAAAGTATTGTACTGATCAGGACCTGCTGCCCATCAAGTGGATGTCAATCGAGGCGATCAGAGACCGCATGTTCAGCACCCAGAGCGACATCTGGGCCTACGGCATCGTGCTGTGGGAGCTCTTCAGTCTGGGCATGGCTCCGTACCCCGGGGTGGATGTCAACCCCAAGTTCCTGAGCGACCTCGAGAACGGCATGAGGAACGCCAAGCCCAAATACAGCAACGGGATAATGTAAGGCTCATTTTCGCCAAGATAGCTTTGATAACTGTTAACTTCGGGTGAAATATTTCTGAGAAAAATGTCCACTACAGCTGAAAATGCCGTTTCACTCATACTATTTTACACCAACAGGCTCTGCAATTGTATTCATTACTCCGATTTTTAATGAGCCTCAACAACATGTCAATGTTAAGTAATAATAATGCTCCCCGCGGCAGATACGAGCTGATGGAGGACTGCTGGATCGCCGAGCCCAGCGACCGCCCGAGCTTCTCCGAGATCCTGGCTCGCCTCGACCACCTCCTGCACGACGACGTCCGCGAGGTGAGACGAGCCAAGCTCGCCGTGTGGCTGGGGATACGGACACGTGCTAGTGTGATTAGGATACTGTCATTATGTCTTACATCAATTCCTTCATCGCGCGCCTAACACTTGTGATAATTAGGGTTAACTGATTGTAACTATTCCATTTCTTCATCAGCTTACATTTTTTAATTACAATAATTCATTTCCGGTATCAGTCATTATAATGCAGGTTCCTCACCATGTTCTCGGATGACCGCTGTGGTGGTGCGTAGTTAATATTAGACTGTATACATACCTTGTCATTCTTTGTTACATAAACCTTGGTAATTCACATTTCTTCTTCTGAAAAAGTATCTAACATTTCACTTTAGTTTGTATCGCGTATGGTGATTTTTTCAGAACTTCGAGAAGCTGAACGAAGAATACGATCGCAGCAACCAGAACTACTTCGCTGGGCGGACGGACTACCTCAGCATGTTCTCTTCCCCAGACTTCAACAACTTACAGAAAGCGGAGAACGACGAGTGTCGATATTTCAATATGGAGGTTTGACTCAAATATTATTTTTTCTTTAGCGTCGAAAATACTTAGGCATCTTATTAGTGGCTTTAATTAGTCTCGCTTAAACAAATTTATATGTTTAAAGGATCCCGTTTCATTTCGAATACTTCGGCAAGATTGAACACTGAATAATATCATTATAAATAATATCGTCAGATTTTCCTACACTCGATGTTAGTTGTATAGCATAAGTGAACTATTTTCTTTACATTATTTCCAAATTACAGTCCCATTTCGCACAGAAAGTTCATATAATCATGAGCCTGCCCGCTTGTGTACAGGACATGACTGACCAAGAACGCCAGAAAGCCAGCGAGTATCTGAGTATGAGGAAGTCCTCGTACGCCGACCAGGGCGAAGTGCCGGGATATCTCAGCATGAAAACCTTCTCTGAGCATCATCCTTCTCCTCCTCCTCCTCCTCCTGCTACTGATCCCGTCGATATCTTCAGCCCCAACCCTCGGGACACTTCGCTACCCAATGGCAGCAGGTAGCACTGAAGCGCTATTCACTTGGCTAGCGTGAGGGCTTACTTCTAAACTTTTGGAACATGCTTTGTAGTCGTTACACATTGCCACCTTGTGAAAAATTCTTGATAATTACATTTATACTACATATATGCGAGTAACATGGTTTTGGGCTCTTAGATTTTACACGAGTTTCCCTATTCGTTTTGATGCCAATTGGCACTCGCCCCTCAAGTTCAGAGAGGCGAAGAGAGTTTAGTCGTTTATGAGTGCAGAAATTCTTGATCAGTGAGAGCATCGATTTCATGAGCCGTGTTTTCAGCAACAACCTTGATTGCTCTTTCAAAGCTAGAGATCTGTCTGAAATCTCTTTGTATTTAAAAACCAGCGAGTAACGTTCTCGTATTACAAGTTGGAATTAATTGCAATATGCAATATTAATATTGCAATATTAAGTATATAGCAATTATTTTGAATGCTTACTGTCGTATAATTAATCCTGGTTGAACGGTAATCATTCAAATAAATATTTACTGTTAAATGAAAGACATTGGACCACCAGGATATTTAAAATTACAGTTCAGGGAAATGTTCTCTAGTACTGTATATACTGTAGATTAATTTATACTAATGTCCATATACGTCATAAACAAATCTGCTTCTTTTATTCTCAAGTTTCCTTCACTCGTTTTGCGAAGTAGCAACATCTCTGCTAACATGATTAAATTAGCAATATTTTAAGCACATAAGCCCATGATCCTGTAGAAAATGTTTCCAAATTATATAATGAGCTTTGGGACCATTTCGCGCCAATTTACCCCACTTACTTAATAAAATATAATGTTATGCTTATGATCAAAATATGGTCAGATTCCTCCGCTATCAGACCTGAGAAGAAACCTAAAATTATTGCAAACTTCAAGAAAAAAAGTTAAAAGAAGCTAGCCAATTCAGTGTAGTTTTCTTTCTATGTATTTTCGATGTTTCAAGCATGTTCTAGATTATTCAATGTTTTCCGCTTCGTTTAGTACCATTTTCAGACTTGGGCATTGCACGTTCGGTTGTAATGTTTCTATTTTGAGCCGGTGTTCTTTTTAATTATACTTTCTGCATTGCATTCGATTTGTTATTTACTTTCAGACGTTTTGGTTTTTAATGACTGTCGGCAATGCATGTGCTCTATATTCTAAGTATTATTCCCGAGACGGTATTTGGGCTTAATCATTTTCATTTACTATAATATTCTTATTATTCCCATTCAAAATGTGCATTAAAAACTTTTTTTCCAGATTCATTTGCACGCCATTTGATTTTTCCACCGGCGAATTAAACGGTTCATTTGCATGAACTTAGTGATGTTTATTTTCTGTTTTATTTCTTTTTCAGGTTCACTTTTCACAGTTCAGATGACTTACCCCGGACAGAGATTCTCTATTCTCCCACTCCCTCTAGTGTTTCTTCTTGTTATGTGCCTTTACTGCAAACTCCTAGTCCGACCGATGGTTGTGAAATGGGCGAAGACAAATGTCACGGAGGTGATGATGAAGGGCAAGATATTAATACCCTTTTACCTATCCCTGAAGATGATTGTGTGACAAATGAAGATTCCTTTGCGACACCTAAGCCCGATTACTGTAACATGAGAGTCTAGACTATAGACGACAATAATGTCGGGTCATCTATATAGAGAGGACAAATAATCATTGGATTCTCTAAAAGCACAACTGCTGTAAATATAATAGCATTTCCGTAAGTATCGTCGTTGAGATTCAGTCTGATTCCGGTCATAATTGCAGATAATTTAGCACCGGCCAGATAATGATTTCGTACATTTGTTTCATTTTCTAATGCGTGTAAACTGAATTGGCTCGTGACATTTTTCATGCGATCAATTTGAAAGCTTTACTTGCTGGTTTTCGTCGCTGTTTCAGTAAAACATCATTCATGGCCTCGCGATGCGCTGCTAAAATTTTGTTACGTGACTCTGCACGAGTAATATTGCACCCTGAAGACCGTGGCACCCATGGTTGAATTAAGGGTTCCATGGTTTGAAAATCATAGAATAAGGGTTTTTTAATACATTCAACCATGGCGGCACCTACACGGCTCTGGAAGATTCAGGCGTCGCCAGATTGTGCCGCGCGTCCACCTCCTGCTCGTCAGGATAATTTGAGACTGAGCAGTGAGCGCAGAGTTTTTGATATATTAGATGATTATTTTAAACGGTAACTGTCTGCAAACTGGTTATGTCCGTGTTGAATATTGTCAAATTTGCGTGTATCTACAGAAGGAAAGATAACACAATCTTTATTTTCATCGATTACACACAACTTTCACTTTACTGTTTCCTCTTTAGTGCTATTTCTAAAGAAAGAGGCTCCTATTGTGAGCGGAGAAAGGTCAATGCATCGTGCCAACTGATTATCTGTTAGTACGATAGCGATAAACTTCTGCATTTCCGTGGAAAACGGCCTATCTGGCATATGCAAAATAGGATACATTTGATTACGCAGACAAATAAGTTTACGTGTTTTGACAAATTCACGTGTTTTCGTATTCTAAATGTTTGCTTTAGCTTCAACTACAGTTATTTTAGCAGAAACACATTGATAGGATGGTATTTTCATATATGTAAATGATTTTATGTTAATAGAGCATATGAACGAAATTCCGTAATAATGAACCTTATAATGATTAACAGCTAGATTTGACTCGTGTAATTGATGGAGTAAAAGCAATCAAATTTTCGATTCACCTCGAAAATTTGGCCAAAAAATTTATATCATTCTTCGTTCAACATTTTTATGATGATCGGAAGATAAGTTATAATTTATCGTATTTAATTAGATGTTCTCGACAGAATTGATGGCGGTAATAAATGATATTTTCGTGTTATTTTACACGTTTTTAAGCATAACCCGATAATATATCTTCCTCTGTATGCTTTCCTACATAATAAGTGACACTAATGAATGCTGACAATGCAATGTTTTAAACGAGTATTTTAAGTTGGCGCTTGTCGCAATTCTTTATATTCCATGACTAAATTTTTGCTAGAATTTCCCAAATTTCAGAAATTTCAATTGTAAATATATTGTACAGCGTATTTTTATTAGGACAATCGTTCGTTCCTTTGCTTCTATCTATTGATACTGGTGCATTAGTTTCAGGAACGCTTTAGCTTTGCATGTAATGTTAAGTAGTTCACATTCCAGCTTTGCGGCTGTTATCCATTTAATATTTTGTTTTGTATTTGGCCCGGCATTAATAAAAATATTGTTCACATATATAGTTATCGTAATTCCACCAAGTTTGAATTATTAACTTGGGTAGAACAGTAAGGAATTATCCCTCAACTATTTCACGTCGTTAATTCGGTGTACAAAATTACGGTCTCGATGTCATGTTTCAACCATTCTATATACGTAATTTCACTGGTATTTGCACCCAAAGGAACTTGATTTTCTGCAATTAATGAAATGTTTTTAAATGAATTTCTTGCTAAATTCAAAATTGCGAATTTATTACTGACGGTTTAAATCCAATGATTGAGAATTAATTAACCGCCTTCATATTCCATGAATAACGGTTGAGAAACATATTTTTTCGATAAATTTTTGCAAATCTTACTCCGACATCTCCCGGATTGCTCGATTTTAGTTTAAGTTTATGGAACTTTTTTAATAATTTTTAAAATTATGCTGCGTTGTTATTACAAAGCATTGAACTGACTAGAGCTAGTGGTTTTTAAATAAATAACTACGAAATTTTTAATCCTTTTGGTTCACAATTTGACAAATGCTGCACTTGTTATGGAATGCAAACGCACGGAATTAATTTTCCTGGTTCCCCCAAATTGTCACTTAAATGAATTGCTTGCGCATCTTGAGTGAGTTTTATATTTTGTTTAATCGAAACTATAATATTTTAGTTGTGTATTGTAAACTGTACAATAAAGCCTCTCGCATAAAAATTAATCTACGTTTTATAAATATTCTGTGTAGTGGTGTACGATATTTGGATGCATTAAACGCTGGATTAAATTACATATTTCAGTTTCCTTGGTGACTTTAATCAGTGGATATGGCATATGACAAATCTTGGTAACCGTTAAACGAGTGGAAGAACCAAGAGATAACCTCGGTTTTCTGTGAGCCAGGTCAAACTATATAAAAATAAGCATCATTCTATTTTTAAGTAAATACATTGAGGTCTATAGTAAAACGAATGCAGGTGGGCTGCGCTGGCTTGCAATTGATTATTGAACTGGTACGCGACACGGTTACTTCAGAAATTTCTGAAGATCTCGCTTAATTTATAACATGGTTTGTACTCTAATTTTTTCAGATCCTAATTAAATAAGAAGAAGGTATGTTGGCGTTCTCCGTACATTCGATTTGCATTTCGCAGTTGCATTGCAACACCATCAAGAAGTAAAAATTTTAGACAGTCCAATTAAAGTTTTCTTTCCGATTAGAAAAAAAACATAGAAAGCCAGTTCCGCTTTTCAGCTAGTACTAGCGTATCTTTGAACTCGCGTGTTCTTCATATGTTTAACGTGCCTTCAGTAATCCGTAATAATACAAGAGTGCTTTTATAAGCGCAATCGACGCTAGGTATCGATTCAGCTTTCTATGATTGTCAGTTTTATCCTAATATATTTTACAGGATCCTTTAATCTAAAATTATAATTGGAACATTATCGTTGTTCTCATCAACAATCTACTGTATATTTTGCAGGAGTACTGTTCAATGTTCATTGCCTTGATAGGTTTAGATTAGATAGAGTTGATGGGGTACAGTAGCTAGATATCTCGCAGATGAGATTAAGTTACAAATAAACGAAAGAAGTCCACCTGTTTAGCGAATAAGCTTGCTTAGTTGGTTTGGGCATCCAAAATTTGCGTGGGCCAACGAAAAAAATGTTTGCGATGATTTTATGAAGGCGTTTCCACAGTTAGGGTAACGTGGGGCAGCGCCCCCCCCCCCTTTTGTTAAACTAAATTTTTGATGAAGTTTTAATTGATACGAGGTGGTTCTTTGTTTTGTTTAAAGTTACAACTAATGAGGAATGTATGATGTGAATTAGACGCCAATAGAGTTATTCAATTTTTAATGAAACATTATTTTGTAAAAAGTGTCATAATGGGCCCATTGCCCCACCCCTGGGGCAATGGGCCCATGGGCTTTGGGACCTCTGGCCTCTTTACTACAATTGCGTATTTTCTGTTCAAAAATTATAAAGCAGCACTTTACAGTTCAAAATAAGATAAATGTAATGAAAAATATATTACAGTCATTCATTTAGTAACAACATAAAAAATCATATCCTTAACACGAAAAAAATATATTCTTTGCTTAAAAAATCTATCACTGACGTGAAAAAAATATTTCCTTGACATAAAAATATATATCCTTGACTTGAAAAATATAGCCTTGCTTTAAAAAATTCATTCTTGACATGAAAAAATGTATCCTTGACAAGAAAAAATATATTTACTTGATCAGAAAAAAACTTCGTTGCAGTTTCGTCCATAATCCAGATATTATGTGCAGGGAATTAGTACTTAATCGTGATATCAGCCAACACCATAGAAACTCATCCACTTTTGGCTCATTGGTGTTGGCTGAAATCAACAAGGCATGAGTCAAGTTGGCAAGGCATGAGTCAATAACTCGATACGGGGTCATAAATACGCATAACCAGAAACTAGAGCCTGCTGCCTTGAGGCGGCAAATAAAAAAATCATACAATACGAAAGTGTAATTTGTAATTCACAAAGCTAGTCATAGTTTTGAAAAGCTCATTGACACAAATCTAATGATATAAAACACAAGTCTTCACCGAGGGGTATTGAGCCCACCATGGGCGCTTTGCCCCGTGACTCGCGTGGGCCTGTTTTCCCACTAGGTATTATTTCAATTTATATCGTGTGAACATTTTATATTAAAAGCTAATAGTCTAAACTTGAACTCAAAACTGTCCCTATAAATAATCCTTTTAAAATATAATTCACAGTAGTTTTAAAAGCTTCACATACAGTTATCGAAAACAATTTAATTTAGCAGCAAAAAAATTTTATCTGGGCTAAAACAGTTATTCACAAATAACTTGATAACGCAAACTCTTAGCAAAACGTAAATCCATACACTTCATCCCAGTGAAACTGTGGACCGGCGGGAGAGAACACGGACCAATATCTGCCATACTTAGCGAGAAACCCGCTATGGGCCCATGACCCGCAGTGGTCCCTTTGCCCCATGTTACCCTAAATAGTGCCTCGTCTCCTCCATTCGACTAGTAATATGGTGATTTATACTTGCAGATATGTAACTTCTATGGGCATGTATATTCATGAGAATGCTCGTTCAAGTCCAATTGTCTGTTCTTTAATAAAGTATGATTAATCAAGTCCCACTTTACAATTATATACCTCGTCCATTTGGAGTAGTGCATGGATTAATCATGGACACACGCTCGAATCTCATCTTAAATTCAGTTGTTTTTCCAGTAGCTATGCTTCTGCCACTTATCCATACAAAATTGATTGCCAAACTGTATAAAATATATTTAATTCCGAAACGAAATACAAAGCTAAGAAACATCTAATATTTTCGTTTTTATTTTTTTTATTAGGGTGAGTGGTGACATGCCTGTTAGATGAATTCTGAATTCACTTGTGAATAACCAAGACGGATGTGTGAGATAATTCCTTCACTCTATTATAGGTTTAATGGACACAAATATCTCAAACTGATCAGGCATGTTCAGTTTTGCATTTTTTCTTTCATTTGCAGTATCTTAGTGAAAACTGTGATTGTTCAACGCATCTTAGTGAATATTTTCAGCACAATCACAATACATCATTGTGTTTTTAATGAATAATAGGTCCCATGCATTCATCAGTTGATTTTTAGACTTTATTGACCCCCGAGCCATCTAAATTGGAGCCTATGAATTGAAGTCCATTCATCTCAATCAACTGAACCTGAACAAATTTATACATTTTCCTAGCATAAAAACCTAAAAGTCAAAAACTAATATCAATGAATTTTAAGCTCATCATACGGGGCTCGAAAGTCCATAGATTCACGGTCACAATGTCACCGTTATGAACACATTATGCAGTCACTTAGCCTACCGAGCGCACATATTACGAGATCAATGGTTCAAAATGAGAAGCCTTCTCAGTTAATTAGAGAACATGCTGGAAAAATGGCCGATTTCTTTCATAGAGCAAAAAAACTTTAAAATGAATTAAGTCTGCAAGGGCTGTCCGAGACGCCTAATTAAAACCTCCACAGGTGATCCGTCACATTCACGAAACGCAGTTTTTGCCCGCGTAGAGAAAACGCTGCTTTCTTGATGAAAAAATTATTTTGTAGTGCATTTACTTGAGAATTTACTTTAGTCTGTTTGATGGTTAATTAATTTTTAGAGCCAAGGTTTTATTATAGGTAAAATTTGTGTTAATCCATAATTAGAATAAATTAAATCGATTCATTACTCATTTATCGTCTTGATCTTTTAGAGGTAATTTTATGAGTACGAAAAAACACATTTCTGAACAACTTTGGTTTGATTACCTATTAAATATTAGATGCTTTTATGATTCATTCCGGAAAAATATATATGGTAAGGGAAGTGTCATGGGTCCCTTGCAACAAATGCCGTCACGAAGATAATATCTTATTTCTGTGGTAATATTAAAACAAATCAATTGATTATGTTTTGATTATTAAAATGATGATAGATGTTTGATATCAAACATAGCTGGAAACTAAAATATTATGTATTAAATAAAGCTGTCAGAAAACGAGAAGATTCATCCAGCGGAGAAAAAACATTTATAAAGAACTAAATTTCAGCGAACCCACTTATTAAGTTAACAATTATATTATTTTCAGTAGAACAATAACTCCTTAACAAAGTAAAATAGGTTGGAAATCTTGCACCTACAAAACGACAACTATCGCCATACTGAAGTTGTAAATTAGGAGCGAAAAACGTTGCCTCTTCGAGGAGTAATTCTTTAGGAAACATAGAACTTCTCAATAAACAGTTGCGTTATTAGAACGCCTTCAAACTGTTAAAATGTTCTTACTTTTTCTACGTAGGAAGTTTCCTCAATTAAACTATTTGTTAACTCTAAAAAATCGTTATGATTCCTGTCATAACCTACAAATATTGAAGAACCGTATCTAAAACATACAATTATTTATTTTGCGCAATTGCTGAGGTAGCCTCGATAAATTTGCGACGTATTTTATAGCAAATTAACGTTATTATTTGCAACACACTTGCCTTCGTGCAGCATTTAATCTACTCACCAACTCGTATCTTTTCCCACCTATATATAGCGAATAGGTTTTCTGTTTTCTGTTTAAACTTCATCTCTTTTTATCCTCTCGTGTCTTTTTTAGCCACTTGTAACGTGCCCTCGAAGTTCGATCTGAACGAGACGCCACGACAATCTCTTCGTGGAATAATAATAATAGTTTAATAAATACGATAACTGCTATGGGAAAGTCTGACAATTATTTTAGTTAATCAATTAATTGACTTATTTTCTCATCTTCATCCTCGAGAATAACGTTTACTCGGCAGAGACGAAGAAACCCTACAGGAGCACGGCATCTGCGTCTTGTACGCGAACCACAAGTTGTGAACGATGGAAATTATGGCCGTCTCGGGAGACTCAGATGAATTAATGTGTCTGCAACTTACGATCGTCTGATGAGCACATTACGGTTCCCTCAGAAAATTTAGCCTTAAAATTCACATGGGAAAACCGATTTTCTGGAAGTCATAGAGGATTCATAAGACTCTTGCTTTAAGTTTTAATGATTAGACTTGTAAGAAAATAATTTGTATGTCTTTTCCGTCTCAATTTTTATGAACTTGCTTTATATAACTTCCCCACGTTATTCATTATAAGTTATAGCCAGAACTTACATGTGGCAATAAACCTATGATCATTGACAAATTTTATTAGTTCGTGTTACGTTTGACCGCACAGATTTCAACATTACAAGAAATCAA